CCCTAGTAACAAGCGATAGGACGAGAGGAAACAGCCTCAAGCTGCGCCAGGGGAGGTTTAGGTTGGATATTAGGAAAAACTTCTGCACCGAAAGGGTAGTCAGGCCCTGGAACAGGCTGCCCAGGGGAGTGTTTGACCCCATCCCCCTGGAGGTATTTAAAAGATGGGTATGTGGTGCTGAGGGATATGGTTTAGTGGTGGACTTGGCAGTGATAGGTTAACGGTTGGACTTGATGATCTTAAGGGTCTCTTCCAACCTAAACAATTCTATGATTAACATCCACATTCCTCACCTGTAAGATATACCTATGCTTACATGGAAATGAAATGCTCTAACATTTTTTTCCTGGAAAATAAACCAAGAAACAACATGACAGGTGCTGCAATAACTATTTGGCATTTCAAAACATTTTTCTGCTGTATTATGTTCTGTATTTCAGTACAAGATCTTATATAAACAGTATAGTTTCATATTAAAAGCAAGCATGCCTATTTAGAAAAAAAATGCTAAGTAAACCTTTTCCTAATGACAACTTTCAGTTGTAGATTTAAGAATACTATATAAAAAATGAGATATGCTCTTTTTAATCTCTTTTCCAGTTACGAAAATGTTTTAAAACTAATTTTAAAAGACTATGTGTTTACATTCAATATATCCAAGCATTTAGGTGCTTTAATTCCACCAACCTAGTGAATACTCTAATCCAGCTCATATAGATACTTTCAACATGTCATTCAAGTCAGCAGAAAAACTTATGATAAACCAGTCTCACACAGGGAAGTTGTATTATCAACAAAGATGTCCTTTCTTAACAGTAAGCATTAAGTAAAGCCAAATAATTGCAGCAGACAGTTTGTATGAGTTATCTGGGTTTAAGTTTTGAAACGTATCCACTACTTAGAATCTCAAGAAGTTCAAATCCCTTTAAAATGACAAGGCAGTCTTATTCAGCCTATCAAGCTAGTTATTGTACTGTCTTATGATCTAACCGTCTTAGGGACGATAATTTTAGGTAGCCATGTTCTCCCTTAAATTAAGACTTAAAAAAAATACTTCAATGTTTCATTCATGCAACAAACCTTGAGATCCTTTCCAACTGATTTGCAATACATTTAAACTTCGTCCACTCAAGTTTTGCAATTTAGCAGCCATACATAGGGAACTAAAATCAAGCAGTAGTTCAATAGTTCTGAACTGGAAAGCAGTGATTGTATGTCTACAACATTTTGGGAAAAACGTGTTTTGGGGAGAAGGCTAACAAGCAAAAAGTACCAGATACTCGCCCTGTTACTGTCCTCTCTGCTCAAGAAAGACAAGCTCCATCCAGCTCCATTCTTAAAGATAGGGCTTGAAAGCGTTTGCTAGAAGCCTTTTTTTCCCCCAACACTAGCAGAAAATAAGATGTCCAAACAATTATGGAGGAGGGATACCTGATCTTAAAATTTCAAGAACGACTGAAATTCATGGCAACTGTGAGTTATTTTGAGTTGTTACATACACACAATACTATGCACCCATCAGACTTCTCAGCTGCGTTTCAAAGGGAAAAAAAAAAAAAGTAACGTTAGCTACTGTAACATTTAAAATCATATCAGAGGTGCACAGAACAGCCAAAAGAAGTACAAGCTATCATTTTTTCTTTTTTCCTGCACATGACCCACAAACAGTACTTAGTCCTATCTAGTACAAGCAACACCAAAAATGGAAAATAATTTTACTGATGAGTGTGAACCTACCATTCAATTTCTTTACATAAACTACTTACACTGGACCAACTTATAAAGTGAATAAAACAGACCTAGACAATCACCCCTTTCTCAGTTTCTTAATCCATCTCTGCAAACCATCAAGGATATGCGTAAGGAGAAATATTTCCCTTTTCTCAGTTCAATGCGTTTAATCACATCTAGCAAAACCTCTAAGTTTAATATACAGCTCAATATGCTACACAAAGAAAATCTATGACATAAATTTAATACTAGTAGATTATCTGATTTTTACCTTGCCTCATCAGCATTAGCTGATGCTCATGTCTAGCTGCTTCCATTTCTGCCTCTAGTTTTTCTTTGGCTTCTCTAATGTTCCTGTCAACCTGTTCACGCTGTTGCTTTTCCATCTCATCAAGAGCCTTCCACCGTGAAGCATACTCAAACTCAAATGTTCCAGGCTGAGCAATCCCTAATAAAAATTTTGCAGTTAAAATGTACAGAAGGACACATTTAGATCAACAGCTGCAACAGCCAAGGAATTTATAAACAATCACTTCAAGTGTAGATCTGACACTAAAACAACCTGTCAGATGACCACATTCTAAACCAGTCAAAGCTTAATTCAGCTGTTAAGACAAGTTATATGATCAGTTAAACTGTCCAAAACTATTAAATTTATATAATTTTAAGATAAAAATTCATATTTACGTCAGTACAAAATACTAAGCTGCAACACTAGATTAACTGTGTTCAGCCTTCTAAAGCAAGCAGTCAATTCATAAAACCAGTTATTTAAATATCAAAGTTTACTAGACAGCTCAGAATATTACCCAGAATCTCTAAACATTAAAAGGTGCCGACATTGTATTTCACATTCTAACACTAATATTGTAACAGTGACACATTTTTAAAAAGTGGTATTCTACAGCCTTACCAGAACAAGCATTTTAACTTCAAGCAACAGGATCTCTAATAGCAATCAAATTTCAATATTAAAAATGAATATTATCAGATTAGGTGACTTCTTTTCCACCTCATGATGAAGACTCACTTTCTTATGTCATGCTAAAAGTTTTATCTGAACCATGGAAGCTGCAAAGATTTACACCCCACTGACTTTACAATTAAGGGGCTGTTCAGAGAGCAAAAAATCTGTGAGTATACAAATCTCTGCAGGATTAGACCACACCCCTAATCCATAAAAGACTGTAGCTTGGTTGGCAACAATCTCCAACTGGTATCAGTGTAGGCCAGGAATCTATCTGCTTTAGTAACTGCACAGAATGTTAAAGCAACAAGTCAAGTCTGAATTTTACTATGATTAGGAAATCTTGGCAAGGTCCTATTTAATCCTTTGACACAAAACAGCACAACATATAAAATACTACTTCCTGTTACACGAACTCAAAAATAAAAATTAGCATACATTTACCAAGCTAGCTAAGTAACACAAATCATGTTTTAGAAAATAAAGCTGAATACAACTTACTTGTGATACTGTTGTGTTTTTTGCATTAACTTCTCTGGGAGCCCATCTTCATCATCAAATTGCTCCATAGGTTCTACAACAACAGGTCGAGGTGTTCTGGAAGACAGTTTCAATTGAATAACTGAATCATAAATGAAGCAGTTAAAAGTTATTTTAGCATTTTGAGGAAACACTCCAGAAAGCTAACGTTATCTATAATCCCTGTGTCTAGCAAATTCTTCTTAAATCGTAGAATTCCAATGAAACCTGATTTTAAGAATTATCTTTGAAAATAATTGTTTCTACACCCAAAACCAGCTATTCTACCTAGAAACCACAATTTACTTGATCTAGTTCTGTTTGCTATGAAGCATTTAAGGATTAAAACAAAAAATCTCAAATTCATCTACAAACAATTACAAAATATTGAGGAAGGAACTACCTTTTTGTTTTTATCAGTGAGGCAAGACAGGGGTCACGATTATATTGGAAAAGCACCAAACAAACCCAAAATGGAGCAACACAACCTATTCATATTTCCACAGAATATTAAAAGTTACTTTTGAAAGTTACTCTACAATTGAAAACAGCTTGGTAATTTGGCATTAATATTCTAGTGATAATTAGAAAAACATTTCTGATTAAGTTATTTAAAACCCATTCTTTGAACAACCATACTCTCACAAATCAGAATCCTAATTTATCTTTGAAAATATCTTCCTTGAATTCTCATTATCTGTAGTAATTAGAGGCAAGTATTAGCCAGTACTGCCAAGAACAGCAGTATAAGGATCCTGAATTGTGTAAAAAGCTCTCTGCATCAGTCTTGAGAGCATAGCCTACAATACACACCTTAACGCAATAAGAAAAGAGTTAGACACACTAGCTTATTAAACGCCAGTGCTTATTTACTGTGTTCCACACCTTTATTTCACTTTGCAGATCTTTTAACAGAAAAAAAATCAATATGTTTTAACAACATCAACAGCTGAAAAAGAAAACTTTGGGCTTTGAGTGTAGATTAAAAAGATGAAGTCTGGAATCATAGAGCACAACTCAGCAACTGTTTCTCCTGATGTTATCTGCATGGCAATTGCTGGCAGTTCTGTTATTTAAATGCAACCGAACTGTGGTGTTAACAAGTTATTATTTAAAACAACTATTTTAGATCTCTAAATTAACATTTCAAATGCCTAGTTTTGATATATTTAGCCCATGAATTGAAATATTTTCTTCTGATCAAACAGTTTTCAGCTAAAAATGTAAAATTTTAGATTCTGAAGCAAATCAAAGTATCATGGCAGCAGATTCATGCTAATTATCTTTGCAACTGCGCATTAGTGAACATGTCAGCCACCTAAGCAAGATAAAGATTTATTCACTCAGGCCATGGTTAGACAGTCATTTCAATCCAAGGAATCTATCGAGCTGGTAAAACAGTAATACCCTCCCTCATATCCTAGCTTCTTTTTCCCTGCCACATCTCTTATGCCAAGAATAGCATTCATGTAACACTGAACTAGATTAGTTCCCTGGTTTGGCTCACCATGCTTCCATTCAAATACTAATGCCAAGAAAACCCAGGGGATACGAACAAATTGCTGGTACCTACTGATAACAGTAAAGGCGTATTCAGATTGAATTTACTACATAGCCACCAGGTCAGTTCAGTGGCACTCAAGATTTATTAGATTATCATGAGAAAAAGGAGTTCCAGACCCTTTCCCCACCTGCAATCTCCTCCTGTCTTATCCTCTGCTGGACCTGATGTTCATAGCACCCATGTTAGCAAGCACCTTCACATTCTTAAACAGCCAAAAATGAACCCAACAAAAACAGCTGAATACTTTGCTGTTGTTTTAGCAAGCACAAGTGGCTTTATGGAAGTATCAGAAAGTTCTCAAGCAGATAAAAGCTCAACAGCACAACCAGGGCAGGAAGACAAAAAGAACTGTAAGTTCGCCAATTTGATGGCAGCAAGCTTCCATGCTGTGGAACCACAGCCTTATTTTCCCAAATGAGAATCAGAAAAATAAAAATTTTAAAAAATCCTGAATACCTATCATTTCACACAGTCTTTAAGAAAGCATTTGAAAGCGTCACTAGTAAATGTGTTAAAGCACAGCAGCTAACAGCTTTCTTCAGCAAGTACAGAAATAAGAGATGCACAAGTGCCGTAATTTGCAAGCTTGCTTGCCCTTGAAATAGAAAGTTTTCCACAGAATGGTGCCATAATCTTCTGCAGAATCTAAGTCTTCATCTTCAAAACCCAACAACAAAAACCAAAAAACAACAAAAACCAAAAAAACAACAAAAACCAAAAAACAACAAAAACCAAAAAACAACAAAAACCACAAAAACAACAAAAACCACAAAAACCACAAAAACAACCAAAAAACAAAAAAAAACAAAAAAACAACAACAAAACCCACAACAACAACAACCACCAACAAAAAAAACCCTACTTCTGGCCTTTCAAGGCACAAATAAAACTTTTGAGACAGAAATAAACACAAGAAGACTTCCCTCAGTTTACAGAAATATGAGCAATGTAGTGCACTGTTTTGCTAAGAAACAGAGGAATATTATTTTGTCACATTGTTACTGGGATCAGGAAGAGTGCAAGCAATGAAAATAAAGTGTCACTAGAAAAAGCCCTACCATATAGAGAATGAAAAGTAATATTGCATATAGACAACCAAAATGTTGCTATCAGACTCTCATATGGTAATTACAAGTCTTATAAACAGTAAGCAGAAAAAGATAGTTTTCCTCACCAAAAAAAAAAAAAAAAAAAATCAGGAGTATTTGGGGTATTCATGTAAAACACCTTAATTTCTCACCTCATGACTTTCATAATTTGAAAATAAAATAAGAACTCGGGAACACTCATGAATGCAGTTTTCTTTCACATCAGAAATATATACTCACACAAATTCAAACAAAAGCCTATGAACTTACGTTGTTAGCAAGAATGCCCCATCACTGCATCTTTCTAGAGCTTTCCGTGCTGGAGGTTTTGCTGCAAACTCTACGAAACCTTTTCCTGTAGCTCTGCCACGATCATCTACTACAACAACAGCTCTTTCCACTGGCCCAAATTGAGAGAACGCTTGTTCCAGCAGCTCATTAGAAACCACAGGTGAAAGATTCTTGACCGTTAGGGCAGCTCCATGTGTAGCAAATCGAATTCGAAGTGGTCTGCTCTTCAAAATAGTACCATCAAGCTCTGCCTTTGCTATTTCAGCCAGTGTCCTAGATTCCTTTTTCAAGATATAAAATATTTTATATATTTTATTTTCAAAGACAACAGATATCACTTTTGTGGTGTGTGTCCCCCCCCCCCCGAAAAGTAGCATTTTTTTTTTTTTCCTTAACTTGAGCACATTAGCATCAGGGTCATTTAACTCTTCTTCCCCGCCCCCAAAAAGCCCCAAAGTTCCTGTCCACTGACAGAAAAAAAAAAAAAAAGAAATGCATTTGTCATCCTCCATGATTTATTCTAAAAAACGACATAGGTGAAAAATTTTGTTGTACATTGGAGGACTTTGATGGATACATTTGTGCTGCTCTGTAAAGGCTTTCAGCAGAGTTGAAAACTTAATGCTTTTCCACATTTACCTACTCAAATGCTTATATTCTACATCCCGAGCTCCATATAGTAGGAAACAGCATTTTCAAAGATTATACTACAGGATCTAAGGTGTTTTGCATTTTGGCTTGGGTTTTTGTTTTATTTTTAAATAAGCGAAAGTATCGCACTCGCTCATTACCGCTGTTGGATGAACTCTCAATGGATGTCCAGTTCCAATTTCATCAACAAATGATGAAATTACCTTCTTTGCTCATGTATTCATTCTTCTCACATGTATGGGCTTTCTGCACCCACATCCATGAGACAGTCTGCATCAGTAACTGCCTTTTTTCTCATTTCAGAGATTTTCACCAAGTTTGATACCTGCAATCCCTTACATTTAAAGAAATTATTCTTTAGATCATAGCCATCTTCTCCACAGTTCAAGTGACTAATTAAATTGTTAAAAAAATAATATATTCCCTAAACATAATGGAAAAGGAAGTTCAGACAAAAGCTATATCTAATCTCTATCACATACAAAATTGAGCAATGACATGTAAATACATCGCACTTCCTCCAGAAAACTGCTATTTCAGGCTGGAGGATTCTCAGGGTAAAAGATGTATCACAGAATGCCACAAGCAATTATCTTTAAGATGACAACCAAAAAGAAAAAAATCCTAACCAGTAAAATATATGGAGAAATCATAACTAGAGACACCCAAAACACTCTAAAACTATTCCTAGAATGATATAAATCAGTGCATTCTAGAGATGGCAGTCATGAAAACTAATCCCGCACATTAAATTGACGTTTAAATACAATACCATATGCTTTTCAGATGATTCCTTTTTTGCATGCTCACTTGAGCATATTCGATCGATTACCCCTAAAAATCTAGTCTTATCCGGACACAAGTAATTTAAACAAACTAAGGTCCCATTTCTTTGCAATTTTGAGATTACACGTTCCGTTTTCACAATGTGTGAGCAGTGGTATTTTAAAACAATCCTGTCCAGTCTTTAAAATTAACTGTGTTTTCGTAGACCAAGCCTATACTCATAATGAACTGCACAGGCTGAAATTTGCTTCTGCGCAAAGGAGGATTTTTTTTCTAGTCCTGAAGTACGGTAAATTTTCCCAGTGAAATCAGGAAAGCTTTCACACAGGTATTACACGAACAAAGCAGATCGCGCAACCACGTCTTCCATTGACTAAGGAGTAACAGGCTGCAGGAGCACCCGCGGCAGCAGCAGGGCAACGGCAGCCGGCGGCGGGGCGCGGAACACCGCGCAGCCGGCTGGGAACCTCCGCGCGAGGGGCCGGGAAGGCTGCCCACAGCGCAGGCCGCTGGCGTGGGCGCACGGAGGCAAACAGGGGAGGGGGCAGGAGGAGGAGGAAGCTGAGGGAACAGCGCGAGCAGTAAGGAGAAAGGGAGAGAATGAGGGGCAGCCACCGTCTTTTTTTCCACCCGCCCGACAAGGCAAGGCGGGGAGGGAGCGAGGGACAGGAGTCTCCCGCTTGCAAAGGCAGCCCCTGGGTGACGGGGCAGCCACAGAGGTTCGCGCGATTCCTCACCAGGCGAATGAAGCCGAAGCCACGGTCCCGATTTATGAAGACCTCGCTAGGCTCCCCATAGCGCTCGAAGAGGCGCTTGAAATCTTCCTCGGTGATATCAGTTGGCAGATTCCCCACGAACAGCCGGCAGCGCTGCGTGTAGCTCTTCTCGCCAGGTTTGAGAAAGCTTTTGATATCGATGGTGAAGCCAACCTCCTGCTCTTCATCTCCACCTTCTTTGCTCGGCACTAGCGCCATGGCCGCCGCTGCCTCACTCTCCGTTTCTAGGCCCCGCAATCCCTTCAGGTTGCCGCCGCCGCCCCCCACCATGCCCAGCGGCGCCGCTGGGGAGCTATTCTCGATCCGCACTTGCTTCAAGTTCCTATTCGCTGCCATATTCAGTGGGCTGTGTGGTACAAAATGCCCCTTCACTCCACACGCTGCAGAAAAAGCTGGCTTCCAGACTAAAAACTGCTCCACCGCCTTCACCGACATTTTCTGGCGAGACGGTCCCATAAATGCTGCTGGAGGAGGCAGGGAGCTGCACACAGGTACCAGTGCCATCCACCTGGACTAATGGCTGCGGGTCCCCCCCCCCCCCCCCCCCCATCCCCGGGGGCGCCGCGGGGGAGCTATTCTCGATCCGCACTTGCTTCAAGTTCCTATTCGCTGCCATATTCAGACGTCGCTCCTTTCTCCCTGGTTTTCTCGGGGGACAGGGAGCCCGGTTCAGCCACCACCACCTCCCACCCGCAGCC